ACGATACTTGGTATATCTAATGTGCCCATCTTTCTCGCACCACTTTGTCAACACCAACTCTCCACCTCAAACTTAATCTACCTCAATTGTTATTTGCCTTAGTCAGCAATTAGGGAGCATAGTTTTAATTTGCTATTGAAAATGGATACGTCTAGGACTCAATTAAAATCAAAATAAACAAGATATACCAGAACAACCGAGTCTGAGGTTTCACATTTCACAATTCTCCAAGAAATAGTGACAAATTCAAGATTGTTCATCAGTGATATATTCCCAAATGGGTCCTCAGATGACTGGATTCTTCTACAAAACCACGTAGTAGACAACATGACAAAAGAATTACCTGACTCGTCACTCTGTTTCCTAAACTTCGGAAACCTTTTCCACGTCACAGGAGTTATCTCATACTGGAGAACAATATAGAAGAGAAGACAACTCAGGCATCACAAAAATTTATAGACAAACCAGCGACAAAAAAGTCAGTAAGAGAAGTTGTAGAATACCATTTCAACATCTAGAGAAAAAAGACGAAAAAACTCTTTAATAGTCTTAAAAAATGAAAAATAAAACGAAAAAATAAACGAGAATATACATGTACTGTGCTCTGCTTTTACTTTGCTCTAATACTGGAGATTTTCTCTCTTTTTCTCTCCCTCTCTCTCCCTCTAATTCGATCCTTCCTTGTGGAGTATTGGGCACTCATGCGTTTCTTAACCAAAAGTGTAAGATTGCTGACTGGCCTGGTCAGCGCATCTTCTTTCTTATTTATTCCCTGGATAAACTGTGTACTAGTTCCTTCCATTTTCTTTTATTTCTTGCTCTGTTTTTAAGTTCTCCCTAGTTTATTCCAATTTTTTCGTGTTCTCTTGCTGTCTTTTTTTTCCTCTGGTTCCCAAAGTATGGTCAATCCATTTCCATTTTTTTAGGAGATCAAAAAAATGTATCACTTCCATTGATCGTTCGCTGTAAAATTTCCATTGTTAGAGCCAATTTTGACAATAAATATAAGGTATTTGAAATATATCTAAAAACGCTAAATCTTTCACATTACAAACGATGTTACGTCATGAGAAATGCTTTCATGAAGACGGCATTGGGTGGAATTTGGAGCTGAATTTATGTAGTTTCCAAAAACGTACTTGTGCACAATTAGATCGTTTCTATTAAGTAAATCTGTTACAACAAATATTGTACTTATTTTGGAATCGGCTTTTAATTTTCAAGCCAAAATATCTATGACGTGGTTTCTTAAACTAGTCATTAATTCTTAAAAAGGAATTTAATATAAAATATAGTTTATTGACATGATATAAAATATCTTAGTTTTTTTTTAACCTGATTTAAAACTTGTTAAGATACTATTGTACGATATAGAAATTGAGATATTGGACCTAGATTTGATATGATACAATGATAAAAATATAAGTCATATAAAAATTTTTATAAATATATATATTTAATTATACATTTCTATAAATAATATACATCATTTTTTCTTTTCATAGCTGCTTCTCTTTCATTTACCTAATTATGTGTATATTATTAGATCAAATGTATATATATATATATATATATATATATATATATTTGTATTAATCTTTATTAACATTTTACCCTCTGATTAAAATTTGCTCGTTAAATTCTTAATTTAACGACATTGAATAGAAACGAAATATCCCTAAATTATACCAAAAATATCGTAAAGATCAATATATCAAACAATAAACATCCCAATTCAATCAAAAACACCGATATACCGCCATTTTGAATCGCATTAATAAACTACTACCAAAATCCAGCACAACTCTTCACAATACCGCCGAATTTTTCGGCGGACTGTACTAACTCTTTATTGCTACCTAAAGAGCCCATTGGCCGTCCGGCACGCGCTGATAGGGCGGTACTAAACACAAAAGCCCCTAACACACAACCGGGGGTAGCCCACATATAAAAGAACAACAGGTAGACGGCTTCTCACAAAATAACCCAACCGCTCCGTGGTTAAGTTTCGTTAAGCCGAAAAAGATCGTGAAAGATGTCAGCGTACGGTGAAGCCTATTACACCACTTACTTACTGTCGCCCCAGGGAGTACCCAGTAATTGGGGTTGTGTGTCTCCCGAGTCATACGAACATTATTCAGAGGAATCTTCTTCTCCTGAGCCGATAAGGAGTAAAAGTCGAGTGACACCGCTGGTTTTAAGGAAGAGACGACTTGCCGCCAACGCTAGAGAACGGCGACGGATGCAGAACTTAAACCAGGCCTTTGACAGACTGAGGACTTTCCTTCCACAATTGGGACAAGATCGACAGCTGTCCAAGTACGAGACTTTGCAGATGGCACAGACTTACATCACAGCATTATATGATCTACTGGATCAGCCTGAGGTTAGACAATAACTATATTTGTTTTTTTAATATAGACCATATTTACCAAAAAAGTGTTTAGAATAAAATATTGCCAGTTTAGACAATTTTTATTTAGTATTCAGTAAAAAAAATATTTTTAGGGAAGAATACTAAAATTTGTAGAACAACTAAACATATTTTTTTTCATAAAACAATTTCAAAATTATTATTTATTACCTTTTTCACAATATTTGTAAATAATATTATGTATTAGTTAAAACCAAAGTTGATATTATTAAGTTGTTGCCTAGTTTTTAACAAATCTGATTGTTTTATCACTTTTAAGAATTTTTCTTTGTAACAAGAATTTTTAAAAGATTGTAAGATCAAGATGCTCTTTTTTTAGTTGTAGGTGTATATAGCTAACCATGTTATTTATTTTTAGTGTTAATTATTTTTGTAATATATTCTTAATTTTTAAATATTACCAGTGAATTGATATAATATTTTCCGAATTTTCTGTGAATTGTTGAAACCATGGATATGAAGTAAAATCGATATGTGCCAAATGCTGTTGTTAGGTTGGATGATTTGTGCCAAATTTTTGTATTTATATTTTAATGTTTGAATAAAAGTCTTTGAGTGTTTAAAAGTGTTGTTTCCTTTATAGTTTATAGCATGTTTATATATCTTTTATTTGAATAATCTATTATAATTCATTACACTCACTTCATTATGATGCAGATAATGCCAAAACCTCTGCATTTTATAGAATTTAAAATCTTTTTCTTCAAAAGCTTGTCTTTAATGTTCCAATATGTCTCAGTATTTTGCTATTGCTATTTTGTACTTATACTACATAAACTATCAAGGATAATCACCTTGAAATTTAGTTTTTATGTAATCTAACAATAATAAAAATAAGGAGTAAGCATTCTTTTACATATATTACATTACATACAAGTTTTTGTAGTTTCTGCTTTTAATGATTTAAAGTACGTGTTTGAAGGCTTTCTCATCCAGATTATCTACAAGAATCTTCAATTGTTAAAAAATATTTTAATTGAGAACTCTTATCCTCCAGATATATTACAGGGGATGCTTTTTTCTAATATTGTTAATATAAATAACATTTTTTAATATGTTAATGTAACACCATTTTTGCTAAATCTCAGAACATTTTATCCAACAATCAGAACATCTATTATCATTCACTACCTTTTATACCATCATTAACACCTAAATTAATACAAACACTAAAGGTTAGATATTGACAATATAAAAATAGCAACAAAGAACATCAAAATTATTTCACCTTTATATTCCAAAACTAAGTGTCCTATAGACAAATTAGATAAAGAAGTGATAATAATTAAAACAAAAGATTAGAAGTCCAAAATCTAAGCAAAATTTATAATTATATTATTTCTTTGTAGTTTATTTATAAAACCAGTAAAATATCACATTTTGATTTAATTTCCTATATACTTGCTACATTTTTTCAGGCATCTATCAATAATGAATAAATCTTCTTCTTGTTTATTACTGAATAAAAAAGAATTTTTAAACAAAATTTTATTTTTGACAATACAATTGTATAATTCAATTGTTTTTGTGTTAAACAAGTTTTTCAAAATTATATTAGAAAATTTCAGTAAAAATTTATTAGATAAGAACATTTTTTTGAAATATGTTTAGCAGCAATTTATTAACAAAACTAATTTTATTTGGCGAGTTAATAAAATGTTTTTTTTTTCTAGTTCCACTTTGTAAGATATTTTGTATTTTTTAGTAGCTCTTGAAAATAATTGTAAACACAATTCAAAACTCGAGGTAAAAATAGTTAACCAATAGCCCCTTTTATTGACTCCAACCCATCCAAAACATATATATATATATATATATATATATATATATATATATATATATATATATATATATATATACATATATATATATATATATATATATTATATATATATATATATATATATATATTTAAGGAGTATGACCGTTAAATTTAATATAAAAAAAGTGCACTCGTAAGTGAATGGGATGTTTTCGGTCAATTTGGAGATAAAAAGACAAGAGCTGTGCTACTTTATCTATTTATTGAAGACGTTTCGCCCACTGTTCAATGAGCATCATCAGTTCATCTAAAAGAGTGTTATAAGCTATACATGTAATATGAGAAACAATTAAGTAAATAATCTTACCTTTAAAAGATCTGTAGCATTAACAATGGTATTAATTTGAAGAAACCTCAATTTAAGGAAAAAATTAATCTAATAAAAACATCAGCACAAAAACAGACTCACAGAACTCTGTGAGTATAAATATAATATAATGCATAATATGACTTACTTTTGGTAAAAAGTAAATATTTTAAAACCATTTCGACGTAATGAGTAAAACTACAGTTGTCTTCAAATAATATATTTAAAATAATAAATGACAAACGTATATACTAGCAATTATAACATTTGAATGTTTTCGTTATCACAAAAATGATATTGAAATAGATCATTCAGGGTCCCATTATATTTTCATACAAAATATAAATAATAAAATATACAGAAATAACAATAAATACTATGTACAATTTACCTCGATAAAATAAATACGAATTTCACTAAATGTCACGATATAAGAATCACTTTTCACTTTTAGGCCATTCTTCTTTATCTAGGAGGTCGTAAAGTGCGGAAATGTATGTTTGTGCCATCTGAAGTGTTTCGTACTTGGACAATTGCCTGTCTTGTCCCAGTTGTGGAAGAAAAGTCCTCAGGCGATCAAACGCTTGGTTCAGATTCTGCATTCTACGCCTTTCCCTTGCATTAGCTGCCAGTCGTCTCTTTTTTATCACTATCGGTGTAACAGTATTCTTTTTTCTTACTATTTCAGAATTCAACAACTTATTTTCATCTGCGTAGCTATCATAGCTCGAAGCCGTGCTCCAATCACTCGGCGAACCCACAGGAACCGGTATCATGTACGAATACTCGAATTGGTCGACGTAGTACTCCATATTTTCGGAAACTGATGTGATCTGTGCGAAGACAAAACGATTTTGATAATGAACCCACTACCTGTTGTTCTTTTATAGAGTGGCGGGCCGGCTAAGGGCCCCTACCCTTAGAGAGGGCCTCATTATTTCGAATTATTTTCCCAGGTATCGGCCAAAAATTATTTCAGGTATATATTGTTATATCAGGGAAGTGAAACAAATTTTGATATATTCGTAATGAGCTTGATGCTATTTAGCGGCGAGGGTTTAACTGTATGGGGAAATTTTTTCACGCACGGATGTTATTAATTCTTTAGTATATACAGGGCAGAAAGTATATGTAATTTAATGATAGAAAACTGTTTTAAAATGTAATACATTACAATAACAAACTTAAATAAAAAATTACCGTAATAGTAATATAAGTTACTATTTTTATTGGGAATAAGCGACAAGTTTACTTTAATATTGTTCTGAAGTTATTTTTTTGTGACATTTTAAAGTAATTACTATTTAAATGGGAATAAGCCACAATTAAAGGTTAAAATACGTTTATTCGCGGTTTAATTTTCACTTAGGAAATCGTTCTTAAAATACAAACATTAGTAAATTAAACAAATTTTGTTTTTTTTTTGATACTTGGCGAAAAAATGCTTCTAATAATGCAATTTTATCTGACTCATTTATATTGACAGTTCAGACATACATTATACATTTTAAAGTAGACGACGTTAAAATGATATTACCAATATTGTTGAGTTGCGTTCCTGAGATGACTTTACTTGTAAGATAGTTCATTCGATTACATGAAATCAACTTTACTTGAGAATATCCTTCAGAAACAATCATAACATGTAATTCGTCTTTAAAAATACAAACACATACCATGATGGCAGTAAAACTTTCATGTTAGTGATTCCATAATAAATTATAAGGGAAAAACCAGGAAAAAAACCTCGTAATACTATCCAGACATAATAAGTATTTGGTCATGCATTTCGTTTACTTTCACTAAATACCAAATTTTGATTTTATATGTTTGTTTTTTAAAAAACATAAATGATGTATCCTCCATACGTTACTGACTTACTAATACTGGTATTTTCCTTTTAATAACTTCCTCTTTTAATATGGGTAACCAAATTCTATTACATTCTGCCCAGGAATTTGCGACACAACTGGTATTATATAGCATAATTAAAGCCGCTTCTTTGATTTTTCTCTTTTTACTATCCGTTTCTTTTAGTACGTTTGAATAATTCCATTAAACCTCATGTTCATTATCCCATGCGTGTTTATATATTTGAGATCTATCAAATTCTCTATTTTTAATATAAGATTCATGTCTAATATTTAATGGCCTTAGTGTTTCACCTAAATAAAACTGATCGCATTCACAAGGTATTTTATAAATACAATTCTTTGTCTTTTCGTGTTCATTGTTAGGTTTGGTTTTAGACAAAATAGATCTCAATGTGTTTGTGTTTTGAATTTTGTTGAAATGTTGAATTTATTTCCTATCCTTTTAAGTTTTTCTGATAATGCTTTTATGTATGGTATTGTTATTTTTCTCGTATTATTCCTTGTGTATGTTATACAATCTCGTTCTAAGTTGTTTTAGTCTATTCAGTCGATTGTTGAAAATTCCTTATTTATAAACGATAAAGGATAATTATTTTTTAATAAAACAGGTGTTAACAAATGTTTTTCTACCAAGAACGAATTTTCGTTAAAACAAGCAATTTTGACTCTATCGTATAAGGATTTAATGATTCCTTTTTTAATATTAATATTGTGAGTTGATTTGAAATTTAAATATCTGTTGGTGTATGTTGGTTTTCTTTACACCTGAGTCTTTTATTCAATATCGTTCTTAGAGATTAAAACATCCAGGAAAGGTAGTGTGTTTTTATATTCGTTTTCCATGGTAAATGGTATTGTTCCTTCTTTATCGTTTATATCATTCAAAAATGTGTCCAACAACTCTGATCCATGAGATCATATTGAGAATACATCATCTATATATCTCCACCATACTGTGGGTTTTAAATTTTGTTTAGAAATAATATTTGTTTCAAAATCTTCCATAAATATATCGGCTAAGAATGGAGATAAACTAGAGTCCAATTCTAGATCAAAATTTTGTTTATAGAATTCATTATTTAGTTGACAATATGTATTATCAATACATAATGTTAATAACTCCATTATAGCTTTATTTTAAAGTCTTATCTAACGGCACATTCGTAAATAAACTATTTATGTCAAAACTTACCAAAGTATTATTTTAATTAAATTCAATATTTTTTAATTTATTTAAAAAATGTGTATTTTTTATAAATGCATCTTTATTTGCAAATGGTTGTATAATATTTAATAAAAATTTTGATAGTTCACTACAAGAAGAATTCATGGTACTACAAAAAGTGGTATATTAGTGGAATATAAAAGTGGAATATTATTTTTATGAACTTTCTGTACTCCATAAAAATGAGGGGGTCTTACTGTAATGAGGTGTAATTAATCTTCTCTGATAACTTATTAAGCAATTTTTAAACTTGAATAAAATTCTATATATTCTGTTTTTCAAAGATGTTGTTAAATCCTTTGTTAATTTTGTATAAGGTCCGTTTATTATTAGATCTTTAATTTTGTTTTCATATTGAATTTTATCCATTATCACAGTTGCATTCCCCTTGTCTGCTGGTAGGATGATAATGTGTAAACACGCATGGGATAATGAAAATAGGGTCAATAGAATGATTCAAATACAGTCCTAAAGGAAACGGATGGTAAAAAGAGAAAAATCAAAGAAGCGGCTCTAATTATGCTAAATGAGACCAATTGTGTCGCAAATTTCTCGACAGAATGTAGTAGGATCTGGTTACCCATATTGAAAGAGGAAGGTATTAAAAAGAAAATACCAGTATTAGTAAGTCAGTAACGTACCGAGGATACATCATTTATGTTTTTTAAATAACAAACATATAAAATCAGAATTTGGTGTTTATTGAAAATATGCAAAATGCACGACCAAATACTTACCATGTGGGGATAGTATTATGAGGAAAAAGTGAAAGCTGATTTCATGTAATAGAATAAACTATCTAACAAGTAAAGACCTCCCAGGAACAAAACTTAACAATATTGGCAATATCATTTTAAAGTTGTCTATTTTAAAATGTATAATGTATGCCTGAATTGTCAATATAAATGAGTCAGATAAAGTTAAATTATTAGAAGAATTTTTCACTAAGTTACAAAAAACCAAAATTTGTTTAATTTACTAATGTTTATATTTTGAGAACGATTTCCGAAGTGGAAATTGAAACGTCAATAAACGTACTTTAACCTTTAATTGTGGCTTTTTCCCATTTAAATGGTAATTATTTTACTTTAGAATGAGTTTATTTGGTGTTTCTATTTACAATTTGGAAATCGGTCACAAAATACACGGTCTTGTATTTTAAGAACACTTTCAGTTGAAAATCTCAACGTAAATATTTTATAAACTCATTTTTATGTAAACTTGTGGCTTAGTTTTAATAACAATAGTAAATTGCATTATTATGCCACAAGAAAATAGCTTCAAAACATAGTAAGTAATATGTTTCAAAAAATATTAAAAAAGGTCTGTCAAAACTGTAATCAAAATATTTTTGTTCTGTTAACGGTTCCAAATAGCGAAATTTGTGAACTTTCTGTTTGTTTTTTTTTGTAATGTGCTGAACTTTAAAAACTATTATATCTGGTTTTATAGTTTAATTGAATGTTTTGTAGTTTCAGGCTTCCAACTTTTAACATGAGCGTACTCATAAAATAAAAAGCATGATATTTGAGATGATGATTTTATTATTAAGCTGTTGATAGTCACGTTAATGGATACATGAACGAATCGAAATATCGAAAAATCAGTTAGAATTTAGGTAAAGCAGATGAACAATGTCGAATTTTTATTATAAAACAGCTTATGGAAGGGGGATAGAGGGGTAGAATGCGAATAAATAGAATTGATTCTACTGGAGCAACTCAGCTGGAGATCCGGTATCCCACCCGGATGGAAAGTTGGGTCGGGAACTGACGACAGCGGGTGAAATGGTCCTCCGAAAAGGGGGTTTGGGGGTTAACTACCCAACCTGGTAAAACCCCATAGTTACAAAATCGAAAGTCAAAAATACCGGACGTAAATCTCGACGACGACCTTTGCAACGAAATAAGGACCTGAATAATGGAAATAATGATCTTAATGTGTTTACCTGGAACGTTCGCACACTTAACTAACCTGGAAACATCCCCAAACTGTGTGACATATTAGCACAATATAATGCTGATATTACTGCAATACAAGAAGTACGATGGACAGGCCGTGGCATAATCCAAAAAGCAAACTACAATATATACTATAGTTGCCATAGAACCAGACATAAATTTGGGACAGTTTCTATAGTCAATAATAAAGTCAAGCACTTGATTATAGATTTTAGGCCGATAAATCCGCGAATGAGCTGCTTAAGGATCAGGGGCAAGTTTTTTAATATTAGCCTTATTAATGTTCATGCCCCAACACAGGACAAGAAAGACAAAGAAAAAGACAATTTCTATGATGAATTAGAAAGAACATATGACAATTGTCCCAGAAATGATATTAAAATAGTAATCGGTGATCTGAACGCAAAAATCGGAAGGGAAGAAATATACCACACATTGTAAATAATAAAGTGGAATATAAAGTAGAAAGTATACAAAAGTAGAATATAAAGTACAAAGTATATAAAGTATAAAGTATAAAGTTCTATATAATAAAGTAAATATAGTTTCCATAATAATACTAATTCGAATCGACACCGAGCAGTCACCTTCGCAGCCTCAAAGAACATGATCGTAGGAATGACATGTTTTCTACACAAAAAAATACATATTGGGACTTAGACCTCATCTGATGGATTAACGAAGAACCAAATTGATCATGTGATCATATATGCTAG